AAAATACCCAGAATTTATTCATTTTGCAATAAATTGTACTCCAAGGCAATATAAGAATATTGACCTAAAAAAAGTTTGGGGTCACCAGCCTTTTTTTCGAGAAATGAATGGTTGTATTTTAGCGAAAAATCACCATTTTGACACTATTATAACACTTTTACCACAGGTTACTATGGCAAATATATTATGCAATATCTCAAAATCTAGCCTGGTGACATAGGCTGAAAAAATCATATATTATTAATGATGGAGTATGTTTTATTGTTCTGAATTATTTAAGAAATCTGGATTTTAAAAAGTGTCAAAAAATGCAATTTTTCTTTATCATTGTGTTCTATGGAATTGTAGCAATTCTCAAGAAATATTAGGACACGTTTCTCAAAAAGCTTAACTGTAACACACAAAATAATGCTATTTCATTGTACCATGAGACATTAGCTTCATTATTGTACATAATAAACTAATGAACATTGTCATGCGATTTATGACCAATTTTATCAAACATTACGACTAGGCTTCTACCTTAAGTATTACTGCAACTTGTAATTATGAATCACTATTGTTCGGTTTCAGACCATTGTTTCGTGGTACTTCTGACATTGACCAACTGCACAAGATATTTGAGTAAGTAAGATATTAATTCATACATCATCTTTCTGTGTCTATTACATTTCATTTACGAGAAATGTGTGTGATTACACCTTAGCTCTGGGTATAGAAGAAGAAAAAAGATGGCGGCCAGTTTTCAAAATGCAATTCACACTACATGGTGATGTATCTGCTTCATGAAATTGCTTTTTTTTCTAACTAGATTGATGAATATTTATAGAGTATAATTTTGACATTTATTATTTTACATAATTATTTTCAGTATAATTGGTCTTCCTGCCAAAGCTGAGTGGCCTGATAGTGTATCTGTACCATGGAATGCGTTCAGACCCTCACCCCCTAGGTCATTGAAAAAAATCATTCCTGAGTTATGTGAAGACAGTGCAGATTTATTGCAGGTAAGTTATGGGGACTTTTATGAGTTAGCCATTAAGATGACAGATTTATTGAACTTCAAACCACTAATGTATGACCTCTAAAAGTTACACAAGGTTTTAAAGTTCTGGTACTTTCAGTGGAGAGGGGGGGGGGGGTTCACTAATAATGAAGAATTCTTTAAAAATAAAATTACAAAAGAAAGTTGTCATTTCAAGTTAAAAAACGTGGTCAAAATGTAGGGTATACGTTTAGAAATTATTGCTGTTATGGGACAACAATATCTTCAGAAAGTATCAGGATGTGTGACCTTTAGGGGTCATGTAAAGTACCAGGATGAGTGACCTTTAGGGGTCATGTAAAGTACCAGAATGAGTGACCTTTAGGGGTCATGTAAAGTACCAGGATGAGTGACCTTTAGGGGGTCATGCACAGGGCATATTTAGTTGTCAACTGGAAAGGGCTTGTTTGCTGATCATTTTTATCAGTGCGCCCTCTACGACGATATAACACACCACTGACACACAAAGATTTTCTGTGACCCATCAGTAAATAATTGTTCCAAAAACAAAACAAAATGTTTTAATAAAAAAAACTCACAAATTTATATAGTGAAAAACATCATATTGTACTACAGGTATATTTACAAACAATTGCCTCTATACAGAGGTTTATAGAATAAGGGTACGCTACTTTGCAATAATAATAATAATAGATGAACCGGTCACTGGTAGCATGGTGGTTGTCGCAACAGACTCAGGACCCAAGTTTGAATCGTACCTTAGGCTGTACATCAAAAATGGTCTACCTCTACCCTGGGTGAGTGTGCCACAGATAGTGCATTAAATTGCCATCTGATAGAGATGGCCACACAACTATGTCATGTAGTCCCAAACGTGAATATGGCTACTGTGGCACAAATGCACTATGTGTCAGCACTAGCACTTGTAATTTGCACATACGGATAAAAGTCAGGAGAGATACAGGGACATTAAATGTCCAGAACTGTCGCCTGGCTCAAAAACATATTTTAAAATAAAAAATATTAATAATAATAAATGACATAAAAGCAATCGCGTCCTGTGCATGTTAATTAGGTGTACTGTAAAATGACTAATTTTTACTGGGTTTAAATTTCACTGATTTACCATTTCAGGCATATTCAGTGGGTTTTAAATTCACAGTTTCGTCATTTAGATAATGTGTTCTATACTAAATTTTACATAATCACTGGGTTTTAATTTAGCACATTTTCCAGTCAGCGAAATAAGCTAAATTAAAACCCAGTGAATAATTACCCCCTTTGCAGTATTTCCAATATAGTAAAATATGAGCTAAATAAATATAAAAAGGAAAGGACCAAAACAGTCGCATACAAATTGACTTGATTTTGAAGATCCCCACAAAATCAGTCCTGTTAAATGACCAACTGATCGTTGTCGTCGTTGTTAACATTAAATTCGTCATTATCACGATTTAGTGTAATTGAATTGTGCCACCAGTTTACGCTGATCATATAGTCGTGTTGTCTAATCGATACATCAAATGGGTTCTCTTAACATATTTGAGTGTTAGTAAATGTGATAATTACGAAGAGAAAACAATGACTTACATGATAATTATTTTTTCTTCATCATCAGAATTTGTTGACCTTTGACCCATCTCAGCGGAGCAGTGCTCAGGACACACTGTCACATGGGTACTTTAAAACAGAAGACGGACAGTCAGTCATATAGGTGAACAATAGTGGAAGGCAATTGGTGGTAATCATGTAATGTAAGAGTGTCCAATCAGAGTTCTGAATTCATCAACTATGCAAATTAGATTATAATTTATGCAATTTATGCTATGTAAAGTGTTTAATGTTAGACTCTTTCAAAATGACTGTCATTTTATAAGTGCCATTCAGGGTACTCGTGTCTATTAGGGATCGTAAAAGTTTCAGGAAAATTCTGTAGTTGATCTTTGACCAAATGTACTGTGTAAGGCTTTATTAGCTGGGTTTTATTTATTTCGTTCATAGCGTTAATTCTAAACAGGGGTTTTTCGAGAAAAAAAACTGCAAGAGGGAGCACTGAAATTCAGCGGAGCCACCAAGTGGGGGAGATGGGGTTCTCCCAACCAGGGTGTGGAGTTTTTGATAATTCTAAGTTAAAATGGAGCATTCTATGGCTTCCTTGGGGCCAAAATTACTATCAGACAGGTCATAGTTGAAGACTGTGGCCACATGTGATCCCTAGTCAATCAGAATTTTATGGTTGCCAGAGGATCTGCTCCTCAGGGTTAGGAGGCGCATGGTCATGGCATGAGGGCGCTGCGCCCCTGTTCCTTTGTTTAAAAAAATCCCTGCTAAACATTGTACATGTATAGGCATTAAACAATTATGATTAAACAATAGTTTGCATTATTTCCTGTTATAAACGTGTGAATTTGAAATCTAGTGAATATTTTTGCAAAATCAAATTCACTAAAATTAAAGTGGCGATAGTCGTCACACCGTGTCATTCTCTATATGGGACTCGCAGCAATGTACACAACAAGTGTAAAATGTACATTATTTGCTTTACATAAAATTTGCTATAACCTCCACCCTTTAAACTCGATGAATAATTTCCTCTTACACAATCAGTAACGTGGTGCTGCCACCTACCACTTCCGATGTAGCATGGGACTCACATCGAGCATGACACTGTGCAGTGACTGCTACGCTTTGTGTAACTTCACAAAGAAGGCAAATTAGTTTTGTATTTTATTTTTGAAAATATCCTGAAATATTGGTATGGAGTCCATGAAGACAATTTCTAATACAACATTGGTCTGAAATATAACTCATTCTTTGAGAGTCGTCACCAATGTAGTGTCAAAGGTCAAGTACTCTCACATTTATTAAAACTACTTTTTTCAAAATAATTATGTCCAAATAATTTTTATTCTGAATTGAATTTTTTGTATTTTGTGTCATTAGAGTTTTGTATTGTTTTGTATTTTAATATTTTTAAATAGTTTTTTTTTTAAATTGTATGTAAACAGTTTTCCATATTTTTCCCTCCAATGTTCTGAAGGTTGGTGACTTGGCTAACTCAGTATCTTAAGCATGTGACCTTTTTGATATTTCATGCATTGCATCATGGGATAAGGTTGCGCATACAAGTATGTGCATTGCATCATGGGAAAAAGTGGACACATTACAATTGTTTTGTACATTACTTCATGGAAAAAGTTGCACATATGATAATGCACTATTTTCTTCCTGTTTTAGTATTGCATCATGGGAAAAGTTTGACATGACTTTTGCATCTTATAAAGAACAAATTTGTAGTAAGACGTGAACAAAAGTCTGCGTGTCAAGGGTTTATAAGATTAAGGGTCTGCAAGTAATGTGATATGCCATGAAGATCTCACGAGAATTGAAGAATTCACACCAATTGTGAGAATCATAAAATGAAAACCCAGTGAAAAATTGATGCCTTTACAGTATTAAAGCTTCCCAAATTTATTAATCATGTTAATCATTTCCAAGATGAATCAGACAACTGCAATTAAAAGTACTGTGAAAATCCATCACCTAGCAACCAAAAGATAAACATTTTTTTGTTTCTGCCATAAAGTACAATACATGTAGTTCCGGTACATATTTTTTAACTCAAGTACTCAAACTGAAATTTTCACAACTTTAAAAATTGAAATCACAAAAAATTATTAACCATAATAGTTTGTCATTGTGCTGTATTTTTATGTAGTTACATTTTATATATATATATATACAGAAAAAATATTTTTGACAATTATATTTTTGTTTAATCTATAAATAGCCAATTTGCTGCCAAACAAATACAAAAACAATAATTCCTGCCAGTTGAGCTTTTTCAATTTATTTTTTTAAATGATTATGTATAATAGAAAATTTAATAATTTGTAATTTTTTTTCAATTCCTAAAATGGCCAGTAAAGTCAAATTGTTTATTTTACTCAAAATTAACAGCACTTGGAATACAAGACATGATTTGATTGGTTAAAAAAAAAACATTCAACAAACAATCTGCTTTCTGATTGGCTTGAATTGTAGCGACATCAGTCAAGTTATATCTGCGACATTTTTCTGCCAAAATTCTGAAAAATATATGCAAAGTCTTTTAAAAAGTCAAAAGTTTGACACTGTTCAAAATGACTTTTTTCAAATATTTTTCGCTCGACCAGTTACATTCCAAAAAAAAAAAAAACTGCCTCTCCCTCACTGCCACAATTTAGTTGATACATAGACACACGACAAACAAGCTGCTCTCTGATTGGTCCGATTGTTAAATGTTAGGGTTGGGTAGCCAATCAGACACAATCTTGCAAGTAGCTTGGCATTGTCTTCACTGCCATACTGGTGAAAAATGCAATGGAATTTAGTATGTTCTAGCAAATCTGTGTCCTTCGTAATGTACCCTTCCACCATGACCCGAAAGGTCGCACATTCTGGTACTTGTCCACAAAATTCATGTCATATTCGCTGTCAATGGATAATCCCATCATTAAAGTTAAAACGACAATTTTCCATTCTCTGTGAGATAGCGAAAATACCAGCATGTGACCTTTTCGAGTGAAACATATTAGAACTGAAACTCGCGTTGCTTCATTGTATCGTGTTCAATTTTAAAACTGTCAAATATGTACTGCCATATTCAGAAATGTATTTTATTCTTGTAAATTAGAGACTAATGTTATATTTTTCTAAACCGTGATTTCGTGTGTATTATAAGCACACATTGTATGTTGAGAGCGTTTTTGTCTGTTTGTACCAAAAATTGATCAAAACGAACATGGCATGGAATTTTGTTACCGGCTGCTGGGATAGAGAGAACCGACAATAAGTTTTACCCCCTCCCAAGTAGTGTTCTCTTTTCTGACCTGTGTAACCATAACGACGGAGACCAAACTGGAAAGAATGAAACACTGCAAGTGGTAAAACAATTGTTAAATCGCTCTCACTCTCGGTGGCAATTTGAGTCAAAGGTGTTGTCACATTTTACCAGTACATTGTAAGTTGCATTTGTCGAACTTTCGTCCAGGGGCACTGGAGAGATACGTGATAAAAACACTTACTCTATAGCACATACTATGATGCGTTTTTTCGTATGTCCTCTATACAATCTTTTTCACACTCCATCCTTTCACATTGATTTACAATGTAGTGTCCATTACAAGAAAATCGTGGTATATATTGGACCATAAATTTGTAATCAGGTATTCTATGTAAATTGTTTATTCATGTAACTTTCAAGCAAAATAGGTGCATTATTAATTTTGTTATATTACAATTTTCATAACTAAGCATAACATGTAAAATCTATTTTTCTGTAATTTGTTGTATTACAAAATCTTTATATCGATAATAAATATTAAAAACAACATAAGATTAGTTTGTTTTTATTTCAGATACCAACTTTGCGACTTTTTTTTTTGTTATCTCTTGAATGTCATACATTTGGTAATTTCATGCCTAATGGACAGTATTGTATTAGTTCTATTAAAAGCACAAACAAGCCAAAACTCACATTATTTGTATACTGTAGAATAATTTATTTTCGCTGAAGGGATGATTCCGTGAAAATAAAATCCAGCGAATATCCTTTTTTTCCTATATTTCACATTAAACTCATCAAAAATCAGTGAAAATAAATTCCATACAAAACGTCCAAAAAGCCTTTTCAGCGAAAATAAAGTATTCCACAGTATTGAAAAAAAATACTGTCTGGCTTACAGTGTTACTAACGTCCTGTACAATCATATGCATGACTTGAAAGTGTTACAGCCGTTCTGAGAATTATTCGGACAGTCAGTTAGCAAAATGACTCGCAACTTTGCAAAACACTTTGGTCTTTGCCCAATCTAGACTTGTCGGCGCCACTTGAGTGACGGGCGCGTGGTTTGGGATTACTATTTCGTAGGGGTTGTCAGCTTGGTGAATTGTAAGTATTATCTAGTGTGCGTTTACAGCAACCATTCTTTATTTTTTATAATTATATTGTAATTATTTTCAGTAATTTTGGAAATCAAAAATCAATTGTACCTGTTACAAAAATGGACTAAATATAATAACGGTCATTATACCCCGTTGCCATTTGATAGAGATGGCCACACAACTCTGTCATGTAGTCCCAAACGTGAATATGGCTAATGTGGCACAAATGCACTATGTGTCAGCACTAGCACTTGTAATTTGCACATACGGATAAAAGTCAGGAGAGACACAGGGACATTAAATGTCCAGAACTGTCGCCTGGCTCAAAAACATATTTTAAAATAACTGCAGTTGAAAAAGTGATTCGATGTCAGGTGGACTCAGATGGTTATAACACTTTGAATGCATATACAACATATAACCTGTTAATATATGGTAACCAACGCGTGTCGTTTTGAAAACAGCGTTTTACCCGCATCTTGCAAGATAATGGAATGATTCCAATTGTGGGCGTGCCAATACAACGACGCCATCAAGTCTAGATTGGAAAAGACCCAAGTGTTTTGCAAAGTTCCAACATATATTGCTAACTGACTGTCCGAATAATTCTCAGAACGGCTGTAAAAAATGGGGTTTTCATTAGTTGGAATAGTGAAAAAAAGGTCAGGAGCAATTGCTATGGTAATGTATTCATCTATATATAGATTGTCATATTAGCTTGCTTAGTAGTTTGGAAAATGTCGGAATCACAGGTTAATTATTAATTATTGTACCTATTTTGATCATAGAAATATGTAAGCACATGTGCATCCAATAGTGCAAATACAGTAGCACTTCAATCAAAATTGTATACTGGATTATTAAAATGCAACTTGTACCTCTGTTATATACATGAGAGTGCATGTGCTACAACTGTAAAATCTGTATTAGAAGCTGTATTCCTAACAGAACCAACTGAATTTGAAAAATTGACAATCAAAATTCATCATTTCTCATATGCTGTGATAGAAGTCACATCCCTTCTGATATGTAAAAGCAGCATTGTAACATTTTAATAGAAGCTATGGCTTCTAATACAGATTTTACAGCAATAGAGAAAATATTCAACGATATACTGTAATACATTTTATTTTCGCTTGGAATTATTAATTTTCGCTATTTTTGCTGATGGAATGATTCAGTGCAAATAAAGTCCAGCAAATATACCCCTTTTTTCCCATATTTTACATTCAACTTGTCAAAAATCACTGAAAATAAATTTCATACAAAAACACCCAGTCTTTTCAGCGAAAATTAAATCCAGCTAAAATAAAGTATTCTACAGTATGAGACAAATTATGGGTATACATGTTAACCTTTTCACCACCAGACTTTCTCACCCAAATTTCTCTGCACTATTATTTCTTTAATATTTCTGTGAATGAACCCTAATTTTGGAGCGAATAGACAAAATTTGTGTAAATGTTCAGTTTTTACTAAAAAAATTTGGCTCTATTTGTCCCAATCTTCAGAAGGAAAGTGCAGACTATAAACGGGACTATTTTGTGAATTTGTGATGAAAAGAGAGAACTGGTGGTCAAAAGGTTAAAGGTGATAAAATGGATTTGGCATTCAATTTTCAGAGTGAACAATTATGGTGTGTGTGTTTTTTTTTTGGAAGGGGGGGGTGATCAACACAATTGAAAGAAACAGAATCTACCGTTAAGAACAAGCACCTACATTATGCTGAGTAAACCAAAGGCATTGATTCATGATCAGTGAACATACTGGTACTACAGTTATGCGACTGAAATGTTGTGGTCCGCCTAGAATTTATCTTTCTTCAAAATTTCCATAATTATTT